TAAAATATATTTAATTGCAATAAGTTTGTAACAGCCGCTTATCACGAGCGTAACGGACTGCTCAGTCGGAATCAGGGCTCGTGAAAGGGTCGACAGGACTCCATGGATTTTAGGAGGGGATACTGATAAAAAATTACAAAACGTTTATTCGTGTAAACAATCACACTGCAGTAATGTACCAAATAGAATCCGAGCGCGAGTATACTTCAAAATATACTTAGAGCGCGAGTAACATAATAAATAGAATCAGAGCGTAGGCTGCATGCGACATAAAATTACAGCGCAAAGATTATAACACGCAATATGCGCAAGGCGCGAATAACATATGTTTGAGATGCAAAATAAATCTTATCGTCTGTTAATTACTTCGGCAGTAAACCGTTATTAGGATTTTCAATTTATACAAAATTCGATCTCGAATTTTGTTATTTGGTAAATTCTGGAATCATCGATCAGTAATAATAAAGTCACGTTTGTTTTGTATAATAGAATAAAAAGAAGTCATAAATTTACAGCTGTCACATAAAAAACGCTCAAATATACAAACAAGTAACGGTGTCGCAACCGTTCCGCCGAATAATTACATGCTATTGAGCATGCGCTACTTTAAAAATCACGCAAATTATTGGCGCTTCACGCGAAGGTGGGCTCCGCTCCAAAAATTATAAAAGAGGAGCTCACCCCGGCGTAGGGGCCTTATCGCTTTCCGCCGTGTACGCATAAGTCAAACCGCCTCAAAAAAAACCGCAGAACATTTATATCGACAACCGCCGCTCTTTCTTTTGATTTGATTTCTCCGCTGAAACTAATTAAACTTTATGTTAATTTTGTGCGTGTAATTGTTAAATATTGTACATTATATTTTAGTAAAGATTCGTATATTAAAGGTTTCTTTATACTACAACTGACTCATCCTTTGTCGTGTCGCGCGATTCCTCACGCAGCGCGTTCGCGAACATATTTCTGGTCCTTCGAGCCGGATCTTCTCGCCGGCACCCGCAAGTTTGTGAACGTGACTTCGTGTAGTTCGTGGGTGCTCTTAGTTCACCATGGATGTGAACACGTTGATCGACTGTCAACGTGAGATCCAGGTCCGCATTTCACGTTCCGTGGAATATTTGAAGAAGCTGGGCACCACCAACATCACCGCCAGTGCCGTATCCACACGCACCAGAATCTTAGATCAGCTGTGGACGAAATTCGAGACACAGCATGATCTCATTCGAGCGGCTCTGAAAGAGAAATTTTGCGAGAGCGATTACTACAAGTCGGAGTTACATGGCGATACGGAAAATCTGTACGTTGCACAACGCAGTACTTTAGATAGTTATACCGAACATTTTCGGAAGCCGAACGTGTCTCCATCCGTCGACGTCGCATCAAAGTCTTCGCTGCCGCGCATCAAGTTGCCGCCGTTCTCTGGCGCCTACGCTGACTGGCCATCCTTTCGCGATCTCTTCCTGTCAGTCGTGAGCAGCAATTCAATCTCGAACATTGAGCGCCTTCATCACCTCCGCTCGTGTCTGACAGGTCCGGCTGAAAAGTTGATAAAGTCACTACCTGTCACGAGTGACAATTACGATCGCGCTTGGGCAATCTTGGACAAGCACTACAATAACAAAAGAGAGTTGATCCGCTCCAACTTTGCCACGTTTACCGCCGTGCCAAAGATGAAGGGAGATACCGCCGAGGAGCTGAGCCGCATTCACAACGCTGTCACCGCCGCAGTCAACGCACAGGAGAGCATCGGACGTCCTATCAACTCGCACGGGATGGATCTGTTCAACCACATGGTCGTCGAATTGTTCGACGCACGCACTCGTCTCGAATGGGAGTCAACCACTTCAGACCCCACCGAACCACCACGGAACGAGGCACTTCTCGACTTCATTAGTCGACGGATCTTGACACTCAACGCCGCACGACCGAGGAGTGTCACAAAAGGATCTGGAGAGACATCACGATTCGTCAAAGCGCACGTCACGAAGCACCAAGGCACAGATTCACCTCAGTGTGTACTGTGCCGTGAAAACCATACACTGATGACGTGCAAGGGCTTCAAGGCCAAGACCGCGGTTGAGCGGAAAACGTTCGTGGAGGCCAACCGACTGTGCTTCAACTGCCTAGGCAATCATTTCCTAGCACGGTGTCAGTCAAAAAGGAACTGCCTCACGTGCAACGCGCGACACCACACCATGCTGCACGGGGCAGCCACATCAACACCATCTGCTGAGGCCACTTCACTTGCCACCACACTGGCCACTGCACGGCAAACTGAAACACACAAGGCCGTCCTCCTCGCAACCGCTCGCGTCAAGATCGCTGATCGCTACGGATCACCACACGAGGTTCGAGTCTTGATAGACCAGTGCTCCGAGGTGTCCATCATCTCTGAGGCACTGGCTCAGCGTCTTCGGCTGCCTCGAGCTTCAACAGATCTGTCCATCTTTGGCATCGGAGGGACTCGCTCTGGATCAGCGCGTGGCAAGGTCACGCTAGACATCACATCTGACGTGACCAATGTCGAGCTCCGCGTGGTTGCTTTTGTGCTGCCTCGCATCTCATTGCAGCAAGGCACCTCTCAACGCGAAGATCGTAGCTGGCCTCACATCCAAGGACTTCGACTGGCCGACCCGCGCTTCCTGGACGACGATCCTGCGGAGTTACTTCTTGGAGCAGAAGTTTACGCATTGATCCTCGAGGAAGGTCTTCGCAAGGGCGGATCACGGATGCCGATCGCCCAACAGACGAGCTTAGGATGGATCCTGTCCGGGGGCTACGATGCAGCAGCAACCGAAGGACATCGCAGCACGTTCCAGTGCACCGCAGACCACGACCTCGCTGACATGGTTCGACGCTTCTGGGAGCAGGAACGCGAGCCAGTGGCTGGGACACCGCTTACCGCCGATGAAGCCAGATGCGAGGACATCTACGTGCGCACGGTCACACGCACGTCCAGTGGACGATACATGGTGAGGCTGCCATTTACTTCACCGCCGCCGACATCGCTCAGCGAGACTCGTCGACCTGCTGAACGCCTACTGGATGCCATGGAGCGGAAAGGAGCACGAGATCGTCGTTTCGGTGACCTCTATCTAGACTTCATGGAGGAATACGAGAACCTACAACATATGGAGAAGGTTAGCACAACTACAACAACTGGCAGCCCCAGGTGTTACTTACCGCATCACGGGGTCCTCAAGGAGTCAAGCACGACCACGAAGCTCAGGGTCGTGTTCAACGGCTCCCAGCGCACACGGTCCGGAGAGTCGCTGAACGCACACCTCCTCACTGGAGCCAATCTCTTGCCAGCACTCGCTGACGTCCTACTTCGTTGGCGTTGGCATCGGTTCGTGCTCGTCACGGACATCGAGAAAATGTACCGACAAATCCTCGTGCATCCGGAGGACTGTCGCCTGCAAACTATCCTGTGGCGCCACAACAGCTCTGACGACGTCCACGAGTACGAGCTGAGGACCGTGACCTATGGGCTAGCGTGTGCACCCTTCCTCGCCATCAGGACTCTTCATCAACTCGCAGCAGACGAAGAGGCACGATATCCACGCGGAGTCAAGGCACTGCGACACGACTGCTACGTCGACGACGTGGTCACCGGCGCCGATAGCTTGGAAGATGCTATCGACCTTCAGCAGGAACTACGGAGTCTTTGCACGGCGGGCGGATTTCCTTTGAGAAAGTGGGCCGCCAACGATCCTCAGGTGCTCACAGGAATTCCACCAGAACATCAGCTGCAACGTGGGCCGCACTCATGGGAAGAAGAGAGTCACGCTACCCTGGGCCTCCGATGGCATCCTCAAGGCGATTGGTTCTCCTTCTCAATTCGTCCACGTCCAGTCACTGATCTCACAAAGCGACGAGTTCTAGCCGAAACGGCTCGGCTCTTTGATCCGATGGGTTGGCTCGCGCCTGTCGTCATCAGAGCCAAAATTCTGATCCAGACGACGTGGCTTCAACGGCTGGATTGGGACTCTCCGCTGCCTGATCAGGACGCACACCGCTGGAGGCAGTTGTTGGATCAGCTTCCTCTATTGGATAACATCCGTGTAACTCGCTGGCTCAACACCGGAGACGACCATTCGCAACTGCAGCTCCATGGGTTTGCCGACGCTTCAGAGCGAGGATACGCCGCCGTGGTGTACATCCGCAACGCTGCAACAGAAAAAACGTCAATCAACCTATTGATGGCAAAATCGAAGGTCGCGCCTGTCAAGCAGGTGTCGTTACCTCGCTTGGAACTCTGTGCAGCAGCTCTACTTACCACGTGCGCGCTACTCTCGGTTTGACAACGACGCCGGTGCATCTGTGGTCAGATTCAAGGGTCACACTTCATTGGATCCGCGGACACAGCACCCGTTGGAAAACCTTCGTCGCCAACCGAGTATCTCAGATCCAGACCCTGCTTCCAGACGCTCAATGGAGACACGTCGCTGGACGAGAGAATCCTGCAGATTGCGCATCGCGCGGTGTTACTCCTGCTGAATTAATCAATCATGAGTTGTGGTGGACAGGACCTACCTGGCTCTCAGGAGACGAGACTGCATGGCCGGGTTCAAACATCGACGTCCCAGAGGATGACCTCCCGGAGCAGCGAGCCACCAGTCTGGTAATCAAGGCACCGGTCTCGGCAGAACCTGACCTCCTCCTCCGGTTTCCAACGCTGCACAGGCTGCTGCGGGTTACGGCATGGTGTCGGCGATGGCTCAATCAGGCGAGACGTGACGCCATACCTGGCCGTCCATTGCATCCGGACGAGCTGGACGTCGCCTTATTTCGATGGCTGCGAGTGGTGCAGGCGCTCCACTTTCCTACGGACGTAGCTGCGGCTTCTGCTGGACGCACTAGCCCACCACGAAGCCACCTAGCGATGTTGAGTCCGGTCCTCGATGATCAAGGCGTGCTGCGCGTCGGAGGACGTCTCAAACATGCTCAGCTACCACTCGACGAGAAACATCCAATGATCATCCCGGCGGCATCATGGTTGACTCGGCTGGTGATCGATTCCTGCCACCGACGGACGCTGCACGGAGGTGTGCAACTGACTCTCGGCCTGCTCCGCCTGCGCTTCTGGGTGCCTCGAGGAAGGACCACCGTCAAACAGCAGCTACACCGATGCATAACCTGCACTCGATGGCGCGCCGCCACACCACAGCCTCCGATGGGTAACCTTCCTCGGGAGCGAGTAACGCCAACTCGACCGTTCCTCAGCACCGGCTTGGACTACGCGGGACCAATCCTCCTCCGGACCAGCAAGGGGCGTGGACACCGTGCGCACAAGGGGTACATCGCAGTCTTCGTCTGCTTCTGGTCAAAGGCCGTTCACTTAGAAGTCGTCTCAGACTACACCTCGGAGGCCTTCATCGCCGCTCTGCGCCGCTTCGTCTCCCGCAGGGGCCTGTGTGCTGAGATCTACAGCGACTGTGGCACGACTTTCATCGGAGCAGATCGGACGCTGCGAGGTCTCTTCAACGCAGCGACAGCCGAAGGTCAAAGTGTCATCCTTGCCGCCACCGCTCAAGGAATCCGCTGGCACTTCAACCCGCCAGCGGCCCCGCATTTTGGTGGTTTATGGGAGGCCGCCGTAAAGTCGACCAAGTTCCACCTCCGTCGGGTGATCGGCGCGACCACCCTCACGTTCGAGGAGTTGAGCACACTCCTTGCACAAATTGAAGCCTGTCTTAACTCACGTCCGTTGCAGGCACTCTCAGATGATCCAGAGGACGTCTCGGCGCTGACCCCCGGTCACTTCCTCATCGGGACACCGCTCCTCGCCTTGTCAGAACCGTCATTGACAGAGCAGACGGTGTCCACCTTGTCACGTTGGCGTCATCTGCAGCGGATGAGGGATCACTTCTGGCAGCGATGGTCATCCGAATACATGCACGGACTCGCCCCACGCACCAAGTGGCTCAAGGATGCACCTGCACCCCACGTCGGCGATCTCTGCCTCGTTCGCTCCGAGATCACCCCCCCGAACCGATGGCCCCTCGCTCGCATATCGCGTTTGCACCCCGGGGACGATGGAGTTACACGCGTAGTGACGATCCGAACGGCCACGTCCGAGCTCGTGCGCCCACTCGTCAAGCTCGTGTTTCTTCCGGGCGTGAACGACGTTCCTACACCGCACGTTGACACATAGCATCACTCACTACACGATCATCACGTCATGCACCATATCAACTGTCACGCTTCACTCATTTCACTCACCACCTCACTATAACACTTGTCTCGTTTTCACCGCTTACTGCATCGTTCACTCGCCGTTCACATCTGCCACATACTTTCGCCGTTTCAGCTGATCGATTCGCAACACGTGATCACCACGTGTTTTCGTCGACTCAGCTGATCGACTCACAACACGCGATCATCACGTGAATTTCGCCGCGCCGACACGAGCCCGCCCCACCATCGATCGCTATCGGAATGTGATCCGAGCCGGAAACATCATCAACCTTTTGTCACGTTGCGCCAAGGCGGGCGGGATGTTTGAGATGCAAAATAAATCTTATCGTCTGTTAATTACTTCGGCAGTAAACCGTTATTAGGATTTTCAATTTATACAAAATTCGATCTCGAATTTTGTTATTTGGTAAATTCTGGAATCATCGATCAGTAATAATAAAGTCACGTTTGTTTTGTATAATAGAATAAAAAGAAGTCATAAATTTACAGCTGTCACATAAAAAACGCTCAAATATACAAACAAGTAACGGTGTCGCAACCGTTCCGCCGAATAATTACATGCTATTGAGCATGCGCTACTTTAAAAATCACGCAAATTATTGGCGCTTCACGCGAAGGTGGGCTCCGCTCCAAAAATTATAAAAGAGGAGCTCACCCCGGCGTAGGGGCCTTATCGCTTTCCGCCGTGTACGCATAAGTCAAACCGCCTAAAAAAAACCGCAGAACATTTATATCGACAACCGCCGCTCTTTCTTTTGATTTGATTTCTCCGCTGAAACTAATTAAACTTTATGTTAATTTTGTGCGTGTAATTGTTAAATATTGTACATTATATTTTAGTAAAGATTCGTATATTAAAGGTTTCTTTATACTACAACTGACTCATCCTTTGTCGTGTCGCGCGATTCCTCACGCAGCGCGTTCGCGAACAACATACAATCAAAACTGAATAGAATCAGCGAACCGCATAGGGCGCATACGACATAAAATCAAAGCGCGAATATTCTATAATACAAAATATACTCAGAACGCGAATAATTATACAATGTAAACTGGGTCCGGATGCACCAGCACGTGGTATCGTAGGATAGATCGGATGCGATCCCGGTGTGTAGGCGCATTTTTCCCGACGGACAGAATCTGCCGTTGACAGGTGTCAAGGCGGGTCGCAATCGCGGAGGTGGGGATACCGAGACTGATGGCCGCGGGGCTACTTTTGGAGTTAACGCCGAACGCGTGAATATAAGAAGTCGGGGGGTGTAACGGCTACGCGTAAGGGGCGCGTTGAACGGCGAAATGGGGTACGGCGCGTACTCCTACGCGGGACGGTCGGTCGGGTAGATGCGAGAGTGGGCGGCGCATCGCGGAAATCGCGAGAAGATTCTTTTGCGGGAGAATTTTGTTTATTCTCCAGCGTAAATGCAGTCTCGGCGTGCCACCGCCGAACTGCAGGTAGTAGGATGCACCGGCTGTCACGTTGGCGCGACACAAGCGGCGGGTCTCCACTCGAGAGCGGCCGGAGAGTCAGGAGAAGCTTATTTGGAGAAAAAGAGTGTCGATCGGCCCCGAGACAAACTCGGGAGAGGCAGAGTACGCTTCTACCCCAGGTGCCGACAGCAGGATGGCTCTCAGGGTGTTCGGTGGTCTCCCGGGTACTGAGATTTCTCAACAGAGGCAGAGTACGCTTCTACCTCAACTCGGAGCACCGGTCCCGGAGATCCGGATAGTGTCGGAATCGGAGACGGAGTGTCTTTTCCTAGGAATCAAACTATCTTTTATACGCGCGTGATAACAGTACATCGACGCGGCAGCGGCGTTCGGCTGGTTTTGGCGGCCGTCGGGCGCGCTCGGCTTTGTGCCGTTTCGCGCGATAATGTGATAATTGTCACGCCGTTTTATCGGCTTTGTGAAAAGTAATTATGGGACACAAAACGCCTGCCGCATTGCCCGGCTGATGTTCGCCGGGCGCGGCCTTCCGACGGTTCGTCGGGACGATGGGATCTTTGTTACAAGTTTTAAAGTAATAATTTAAAAGATAACACCACTGTAACGGCCTAAAAAAGGCGTTTTTTTGACCATTTTTTTTAATGGAAAAAAAGGAAATTAAGTTAAATTAATAAATTAAAATGAGATCTCAAATCAAACTCATTTATTAAATTCTAAACGTTTCGACCCACTTCGGGTCTTCTTCAGTAGCTGCAAAATACAAAGAAACAAAAATAGAAGATAATCGGTACAATCAGAAAATTATAAAACTCGTATACATACAATCCGCAAATAAATTAAATATCATTCTCCTCCCTATTCAAACCGTCCGGCCGTCGGAGTGTCTCCCTAACGGTGACCATCGTCAGGAAGGAAGTAGAGCCGTGACTCCCTTACCAACACTAATCAACATGATATAAATTAAACGTAGAACAATTCACAAGAATTAAAAATTAAAAACCGGGAAGAACACTCACCCCGACAGCAAAAACAGAGAGAAGACGATGCTACACGTGACACATCACTCTAACGACTGTGCGGTATTCTACCTCGACACAGTCGATACATATATACGCAAAAAACAAATATAAAAATAAAATATGAAAATAAAAATAAAAACAACTAAAACTTATCGGCACTCATGTCAAAGGTCTAACAAAAAAACCCGGCTATGTATAATCACAAAGCTAGATTTTGGTAAATTTTTCTATTAACAGATCAAAATTCTCGTTTAATTTATCAGTGTCGCTATGTAAATTTAAACTATTCCTCTGACGTTTTATGTGGATCATTTCGGATATCAAACGTTTACCTAAAAAAGGCTCCTCGTCTAAGACTTTTACATCCTCCCAATTAAATTCATGGTTCAATAATCTATGTTCCGATATGACTGATAATTGTGACGCGTTTCTTTTTATGTTGTTGCGATGTTCTTTCATCCTAGTTTTCAACAATCTACCCGTCTGCCCTACGTACGACGCATCACAATCCATACAATCAATTTTATAAACTACATTGTTATGGAGTTCCCTTGGTAACTTATCCTTGTGTACTTTGATGAATTTACGGAGACTGTTAATTGCTGTATAGGATGGAATGACATCCAAATCACGTGTAATGTCCTCGATTCTCTTCGATACATTATTAATATACGGAATATTAAAGTACGAAACTTTTTTCTGCGTTAGGATCTTGTCATTGCATATATTTGCTCTATTGTTATGCAACTTATTATTGTAGCGGAAGAACAACTTTTTTAACCGCGCTTGTAATGTTTGAAATATCAAATTGAGAGGATAATTATTAGACAAAAGAACTCCAATCATAGACTCAAAGTTACCTTTATGGAATTTCGGATGAGATAGCCAAAAAACTCTATCTATGAGGCTGATAATGGTGCCTTTTTTATGACAGAGAGGATGCTGCGATTCAAAATTTAAATATCTACCTGAATACGTCGGCTTATGAAACAAATCAAACTCAATGCTCCCATTATTTATAATAATGGTGACGTCTAAAAAATTCAATCGGTTGTCAACCCCCTCCTCCATGGTGAACTGCAATCTAGGATGGAAAGAATTGAAAGTGTTTAAAACTATTTTAAGCATGGAGGGTGGGGCCGCCAACGCGATATCGTCAACATATCTAAAATAAAATGGAAATGACATTGGAATCGCAGCAATCGCTCTACTCTCCAAATCTTGCAACGTGATATCCGCAATGATCGGTGAGAGGGGGGAACCCATAGGCGTGCCAAAAGTCTGTTGATAACATACATTATTAAACATAAAATAAGTCGAATTCATAATAAAACGAATTGCCAATAAAAATTCATCTCGTGGAATAATACACTCTTTTTCAATATACCCCCATCTGTTAATTAAACTATCAATAGCCATATCCAATGGTACGTTGGTGAACAATGATGCAACATCTAGTGAAACTAGCTTCACATCACTATCCACACATAAACCATTTAATTTGTTCACTAATTGGAAACTATCAGAAATAGCCGAATCAGGTTTCGGAATTGCCTTATATATTATCTTATGTAAAAATTTTGCCAAGTAATAAAGAGGTGTATTCCTAGATGACACGATGACACGTAAAGGGCAATTCGGTTTATGCACCTTCGGCAGACCATACGCTCTCGGTAAAACCCCGTCCGTGCAGTTCAGGGATTTATATGTTGTTGAAGAAATGTAATTCTTCATTTTCCATCTCATTAAAATTCCGTGTAATTGATTAATTAGGTTCCTAGTCGGATCTTTTTTAACAACAGTATAAGTATCCCGGTCAGCCAGCAAATCACACATTTTGTCCATGTACATATCTCTGTTCATCGCAACCGTGATATTACCCTTATCCGCCTTCATAAATAAAATATCGGGATTGTCTTGGATGAATTTACCCGTCAATTTGTAAGCCTTACAAAAACTATTTTTTGTGTGAGCTTTTTCAGACATGGAAATATGGAATTTATTTATTATGGGAAAGGCTCTATTTCTGACTGCAGATCGTTTTTCCACAGGGAGTTTAAAAATATTTTGTTCTATATTTTACAACAACTCTATGGTGGTTTTATCCTTGTCAAATACTGGCAGACAGAAGTTCTCTCCTAACCGCAACAAATCTCGAATTTCACACGGTATCGATACGGATGATAAATTTAAAAACCATTTATCTCTTTTGTCAGCAACATCAGGATTTAAAGAAACAAAGGAAGTCGGGTTCAAGGAAACGCTGAGAGACTGAGACGGCCCTGACTCACATGGCCTTGAAGAAAATTCTTTCGTACACGTGTAATAATATTGGATAGGACGAATATTTCTATTATTGAATTTATTTTGTTTATCTAAGAGCCATCTAAATTTATCATCCAGTCGAACCCGTTCCTTATTATAAAAATAATGTAATGATCCGCTTTGCTCACCGAAAAACCCATCACAATAACACACTGGGAGATCTATC